AACCTTTGATTTTGAGAGACTGACAGCTGTACTACCTGGTACAGTAACATTGTTTCTCTTTGTAGTCGCCATGCGCTCGGGATCGCACCAGAGATGTCGCTTCCGAACGACACCTTTGAGCGTTATCTAGGGAGAGGGAAGCGTATCGTGAGCGTGGAAAGTCAGGTAGTTCAGTGGTTTAGAGCAGTCGCCCGGCAAGCGAAAAACCCAGGTTCGAGTCCCGACCTAGCAAACCGCGCTCTCGATATTTTTCTCTCTCTGGAACGAAAAGTTACGCAGATCTCGAATGCACGGTGTCCCGCCGTCACCTAGTACGCCCTCCTTCTTTTATACTCCCTTTCTCCCTTCCTTCCTTATCCCATTTACCTCTGCAATTCACCGTTCTCTCCATCCTCTTTCTTTTCCTCCTCCTAACCTCCCCTTCTAACTATAAAATTACTAGATGATGATCCAAGTCTATCTCCTCTTCCACCTCCATCCTTAGCATTTCTCCCAAAACCTCCCAACATCCCAATATATAATCAATCACTGACTTTCCATTTTCTCCCATATACGTAAATTCATCCTCTTCATCCCCTATTACACTATCATTCATTATCACGTATCCTCTTTCTTTTATTACCTGCAATAACTTCCTTTCCCATACATCTTTCTTACCTTCGATCTTCTCTATTTCCCTTTCTCCTCCCTCCCCTCACTCTCACTCCACTCTCCTTCCTCTCCTATCCTCGCGTTAAAGTCTCTTCCTATAACAACCCTCCTCCTTTCTCCTCCCCTCCCCATCCATTCTTCCAATCTTTCTAACCTCCTTTCTATATCCCCATTCGCATACACTCCTATGCGAATCTACCCATACATTCACCAATTTATGTTCTTCTCTAATAATTTCTTTCTTCATCCTCCCTTTCACTTCCTTCTTTTCCTCTAACTCTATCTCCTCTAAGTCCTTTTTCACTCCCATTAATATCCCTCCTCTCGCCCTCTCCTTCCTATTCTTTCTTCTCGCCATATGTATCTTCCATCTGTATTCTTTCGGTAGTCTGTCCTTCATTCTTTCCCAACCCTTCCTCTCTAACCAAGTTTTTACATCATCACTACCACCTCCCATTTCCTCCTAGAATTCCTTATCCTTGTTCTCCAATTCTGCCACATTCCAGAACGCTACTTTTCATCCTTTCTTTCTCCCATTCGCTTCTTTCCTGCCCCCCTTTTCCTCTAATCGAATTCCCCCAACGCTTCATGCCTTTCACTCTCCCCGTTGCTCAATATCTCTTCAAACTCCCAACTCCCACTTCCTATCTATCTGTATCCTACCATACTTTACCCATATCTTCCTTCCCTTTTCCCTCTCTCTTCTAGCAATCTCCTCCAAATTTCATTTCATTTTCCTTTTTTTCCATTTTGAATCATCTCCTATTCATACCCCGCTCTTTTCCCACTCCTTTTTCCTCCCCATCATTTTCTTTTTCCCTTCCAATTTCTCTATCCTAATTCTTATGCATCCACTTTCATCTTATCTTTCTATCTTTTTCACCTCCCTTATCTCCCCCTTTATCCCCATCCCCCTCATTATTTCTTTTATTCTCTCTTCTACCTCCCTCGCTTCTCCGTTCATCCCTCTTACTATTATATTTCTCTTTCTTTCCTCTCTTTCTCTCATCTCCACTCTTCTTTCCACCTTTCTCAACTCTCTAACCAGCTCTCCTGCCTCTCTCCCTAATTCTCATCAATTCCTCCTCCTTTCTTTCTATTGTCTCTTCCAGTTCCTTTATTCTTTCTTTAAGCTCTTCATTCTCTCTTCTCCACTCTTCCTCCTTCCATCAATCTGTTTATCCCCTCCAACTCCTCCCTCCTTTCTTTCCTTTAACTCCCTATCTTCTCCCTTATTTCTTTTATCACCTTCACCATTTCTCTCATACCCTCCTTCATTTCCTTCTTCCACTCTTCCAACTCCCACTCTCTTCCTAACACCTCTCTCTCACCTCCTCCCTCCCCTTAGCGACCTCAACGTTCTCCTCCTTTTCTTAAATACACACCATTTTTTCTCTTCCCAATCGCCCTTCTCCTCTCCTCCCGCGCATCCTCCTCCTTCTCCCTCTTCCTCTTAAACATTTTCTCCAACATTCCCATACTTTTTTTTGTGAGGCAGGGAAAATGTTTTACGCATATCTGCGATCTCCTGGGAGGGGTCCGCGAGTTATGTGGGACTCTCCCCCTTCCATCCACATACGAAGGGGGTCTACCCACTAAAACCCCTGCCGGATGCCTCTTGTGGGGCATATTTGGAGGGACTACTGTTGGTATTACTTCCCCGACTGCCCGCCTCGGTGGGCCTAGTCGGCCCCCTTTCGTGCCGGGTTCCCCGCATTCACGAGCGGCACTTTTTTTCGCCGCACGAGTTTTATTCCCTGTCTCCTTGTTAGGTGGTCACTCGCCCTGCTCCCTTCTCCCATTGGAGGGGGCGGGAAGGTGGTCCGTCTACGAAAACGGGTCTCCCCCCCCCCC